CTGACAGGAGCAACACACAAAACCAGGGATTAACATGGGAAGTGTGTGTGATGGATATGCACAGAGGATGATGGATGTTTTGAAAAACCCGACTTTACTAAACCAACACACACGTATACGCGCACACAGAAAACCAGGGCCTGAGATCACTCATCACGATGGAATCTACAGATTAGACAGGAGACGGGGCCTCTGCCTCTCTCACACTCGGACCCAATGGGAAAACTTTGTCGGATTTATTGCTTTGTATGTCCATAAACTTCCCTTTAAACAGGAAATAATAAAGCAAACTGAAAACTGCACCAATATGGCAGCATAAACGTCCGCGTGTCAAAACAAGCTGTCAACGATTGTTACTAACGCACTTAATTATTGTGTGTTTTGTGAGTCTGCTTCAGAGGAAGGCTTTGAACAGCTCTGGGATATTCTCAGTCAGACATTTTATGGACAGATTTTACGATGCTAATTCATGTAAAACTGCACCGAGCCAAAGATAAAAAAAATAATAACAAGAAAAGTTTAATTTGTCACTGATATCCATAACGAGGAGCCCGAGGTGTTGTTGGAACAACTGCGTTAGTCTTTTTTCCAATCTGCTTCTAAAACGGCTTTAACAAAATTAAGTAATGTAATTAGCATTTAAAAAAGGTCGCACTGGTAATAACAGTTTCATCAAGCAATGTCTTACCCATATACTGGTGTATATGAGGACAATTAAAAGTCAGACTGTGGACATCAATATATTCTCCTCAGTTTTTTTCATTGTATTACAAATCTAATAATTAAGTTGTTGAAGCAGAAAACAATCCAAGAGTAAAGTCAGTTACATGGAGTAGCTTTTGTATTTCAGTGTCTGCTGGATGACTTGTGATCCATCTCACAGCGACATTCCTCCATCCTCGTCCTCAGGTCAGCCGTCATGGGGTGATCGTCACCGTGGGTCAGTTTGAGGATTTCATAGGCCTGAGGGGGCAGAAATAATCATATTTAGCTTTCTTAACAGCAATTTGTACTGTTGTTTAAACTGAATAATAACTTAGATGCAGAGTGAGTCGTTTAGATAATACAGAGGTGTGTCAGAAAAGTTTCAGGACTGGTGTCACTAAAGATATATTTCAAATCCAAACTACAAGTTCTCCCCTTCCAAGTAATCCCCCTGGAGTCTAACACCCTCCTCCAGCCTTCTCTGCCACGCCGCCATGCACTCCTGGAATGATTCTTCTGGATCCTCCGCAGCGCCGTCATCACATCTTGATGTCGTCCACGTCTTCAAAACGGGTCCCCTTGATGACCCCCTTGAGCTTGGAGAAGAGGAAAATAATCCCACAGAGCCAGGTGGGGTGAGTAGGGAGGTTGCTCCAGCACGGTGATGTTCTTCTCAGCCAGGAACTGTGGGATGCTCAGGGCGTTGTGAGCAGGCGTGTTGTCATGGTGAAGCAGCCACGACTTGTCCTGCCACAACTCTGACCTCTTGTCGCGCACTGAAGAAGCAAACGCTGCAGGATCTCTTTGTAGACGTGCTGGTTGATCGTCTGAAGGGGAAAACTCATAGTTTGTAGTTTGGGTTTGAAATCTATCTTTTGTGACACCAGTCCTGGACACACCTTGTATAGTAAAGCCAAAGATGTGTTCACACCCTCTGTGATCATCTCTTTTCTTGCAGGTCTCTAGACAACTAATAAAGTTAAGTAACTGACAGGAATGATAGAGAAAGTGTTAAAAAATAAAACCACTGCAACCAAATGCAAATGCAGTCTCACATGGCCACATCACTGCCGCAGTGCTGTGTAGGATGGTCTGACTGCACCTCATTATCATTCTGAAAAACAATAAAAAAAAGCTTCTTCTTCGTGTGTATTTCTGAAAACCAATCACAATCGTCCTCAGAGGTACTAAAGCCCAGGATGGTGTGCCAGCAGCACAGTGCTGACTGGGGGGTAGTTTTTGAGGAAAATGTGCATGCAGGGTGGCGAGCTTTGCCATCAAAGTGTCTAATTTAGCAAAAGAACCATGCAGGCCTCCCTTATTGCACCATAAATCTTTGTAAAACCTTGCCATCTTCAGCTTGCAGGATGCTGCTCGGTGGTTTCTGTTTCCAATAGCAAAGGAGATTTTGAAAATGGTAGCACACAGATAGCAGAAAGGGTGATGAATGCTATGTGAAATGTACGGTGGAAATCGCAGACTTAAGCCTTGATTATACTCCCTTGCGGACATCTGTAGACAACTCAGACGAGTAGATTCTTTTATTCTCTTGAAGGTCACTGAGAGAACTCAATATGTTTGCAGTACGTCAGCATCAAAGTATTCTCTGTATGGAAACCGTCTGCACAGAGACAAATCTGGAGCTCCGTACGACATTCTCGAAGGATTCCTCACAGACCCTCAAGGGTTTGGGAAAGATGTCGAAATTGACGCAGACCTTGCATACTTGTTAGAAGTGTAACACTGGCCTTGTACTGACAATCTCCATCCAGTGAGTCTGACTAAGGTAAACAGACATGTGGTTGCACCGTGGCAATTTCTGTTCATCAGTGTTCTATCCCTCATACCTGTTTGAATGTGTCCAACGCGTCCTCGATGTGCTCCAGGTAATGCTGCAGCTTCCCTACTCTCATCAGCTGAATCCCGTGAACTGGATGGGGATCTGGGTAGTACAGTCTTTAAAAAGAAAAGACAAACAGAGAACCAGAGTGTGGGAAACATCATACTTTATAACATACGAAGACTTTTTCTGTTAGCTTGGTGACTAGATGTTGCCGTTTACTATAACTTAACTTGAAACAGTTCTCTGATTGTTTTTGTGTTGTTGTTCTTCTGGTTTCCTTTGTATTGTTATGGCAGTTCTCATTCTTGTACACTTTCTGCTGGAAATGGATGTTCTGCCCTGTTCATACACCAATCATAAAGTAATATACAGTCATGACTTGACATTGCGACCCTTAATAATCCCAAAACCTTGCTATCTGATAGGTTTTTAGGAAAAACAGACGGAACCCATTAAAAACAGCCTTAACATACCAACAGCCTTGGATTCTGACCTCAACATGACATTTTATGTCACAAATAAGGATAACGGCGTATCATCTGACTGAACAATCCGACAAATTTACTTGCCTTTGATGTCAGCAGACAGGCCCGTGCACAAGCACACAGGTCAATTAGGTGTCAAATCCAGCAATGTGTAGCATCCTAACAATACAGTAGTTATTATAACAACTACAAACAATGATTTTTTTTTATTTTTTATTTTTTTTCTGGCCTTTTTGCCTTTATTCGTTAGGATAGTGAGAGCGAGAGACAGGAAAGGGGGAGAAGACCTGCAGCAAACTCTCGTGAGATCACGACCGCTGTGTCGGGGAACTACAGCCCTGTTCAGGGGTCACCTGCTCAACCAGGTGAGCTATAGAGGCGCCCTTAACCAATGAATATTGACAACAAATGACCCTTCAAGCATCAAGCCCTCGTTGTATCTCAACCTCCGTCTTGACAATGCGACAGCCTTGCTATCTGACATAAAAGAAGGTTTTACACTAAGTGTTGGATTATCAAGTCACGACTGTTTATCATTGAAGTGTTTTCAATTAGTTTGTATGGTCCATCAATCTGTTCATGTTCTGCTACGTAACCAGGATCAGTCCATCAGCTGTCACATTAGGATAAGCTTTCCCAGCTCAGCGGTGTGATGCCTCAACAACTGAAGCCTGCTCTCTGGTCCTATATTTTCTAACAGGGAACCACAACATGCACCACTGCTGGACTCTACACTGCATTAAATTACCAGATGACATTTTCAGTGTGAAACCGGATTGGCAGTTTGGATACCGAGCACATTCTACCTGTGTTACATCCAGAAAAAGTAGAACAACATTTAAATTACGTATTATATGATGAGGTTCAATCAACTTAGCTTTTAAATGGAAACACACACAATCTACATTTTGCTTTAATTCATGGGTTTGCTCTGTGTCACTCAGAAGCCTGAGGCCATTCACAGCGAGGATTCAGACAGAAACACTGGTGATTAACGAATAGACACTAAAAATCTGCTTTGCCATTCACCGCCTCAACGCAAGTGTGATGCATATACAAGCAGGAATAAGTGCGAAAGAGAAATAACAGCAAGAAAACACAGAGTATAGTGTAAGTGTGCATTATTCATGTCGCTGTGTTTGTTTGAATACGCCTACTTGAGCGTGTGGGCGCCTCTGCATGTGTGTGTATATCTGAATGTTTGTGCGTCAGACTCTCCCCTTTGTGACACTATTTGGCATCCCAGCTCTTTTACCGAACTCATTTCCATTCGAGTTTCGCTGCTTTATACCATCCAGCATGATATACGTGTGCACACATACACACACAGACTCAGAAACAATCAATGACACACGAAGAAGCACAACAAATCCTGCACATATTCCCATGACAAATGTACAGGGACACACTGAACTCACGGATACTGTATATATACCCACACTTGTACTGTACGACCTGCACACATACAAATACATACAGTAACACACACTCACTCACATTGTCACTTTTCAGTCTTTCTTTCCCTAGAAGCGAATACTCTAGTGACGGGAAGCGACACAGCCTGCGTATCCATGGTGACAGTCAGAATTGTGATCAGCTCAATCGATGATTTTGACATTGAGAGAATCGCACAAGGTTCACACACATACAGGTCTGCAACTAAAGTTTCCACTCAGGCATAGTGCAATACAAAACTACCAAAAGCCTCATGTATCAACAGGAATTGTGATGAAGGATATGTTACGGTGGCCAACGGGGGCAAATATACGCAAACGAGCTGCATATACATGAATGCGTTGCATAAACAGAAACGTGCAGCAAAAAGAAAACGCTACAAACACAGAAATGCACTGCAAAAGGAAACCGCTGCATATCCAGTCACACAAGAAAAGTGCCACAGGCCTCTAGGGGCAGTAGTGAGCTTTTCACCTGAGAGGCCAATCTAAGTGCTGTAGTACAACCAGAGGAAGGTCACTGATGTGTGATGGGAGTTTGGTTGCACTACAAACAATAAATGTAACATTATTGAGTTTTTTCAAAGCATTTCCTTTTGCCGTGGTCGTTTATTGACGGTCCCTGAGGTCTGGTCTGGCTGCTGGCAGAGCGTAAAGAACAATGTAATTCATAGAGAACGAAGGACGTCTCATTTTGGGGAAAAAAAAAGAAGATTTTGGCCGGTTGCAGGTTGTGGTCTGTATTACAGCATTTGGAAAGAGGTGCCATTTAAAACGGTGATTCTCTTTGGAGTTATTGATGTTGGAAGTTCGAATCTTTGAATATCTTTCCAACTTTACTGACGCTCAGCATTGTCTGCCTCTCAGGTGAAAAGCTCACTACTGCCCCTAGAGGCCTGCGGCACTTTCGTTGTGTTTCTGTGTTTGCAGTGTTTTCTTTTTGCATTTGTTGTCATTTATGCAGCGCCTCTGTATATGCAGCATTTTCCTTTTGCAGTGTTTTCTTGTTGCAGTATGTTTCTGTTTATGCAATGCATTCATGTATATGTGTCTCCTTTGTGTATATGCACATAACTTGCCCCTGTCAGTAATATTTGGATGTCTTCTGCACAAATTACGTTGAAAAAAAAGAAGCAAATTCCTATTATGTTGTTTATATCAACTCTGACACATTTGTGGCTCAGCGCTCTACAGGATATAAAAACAAACTAATCAGATTAGCTGCATTTGTCTTGACTTTATAATCGCAAACAATTATGACATGAGTGAGTTTGTGCAGCTCATGTATGTGGGTGCACACATGCATGAAAATGGATCAGTGCTTACTGACCTCTGCACATAAAGCCCACATACTGTCAATGTTTACACATACATGCTTGATAGTGAAAGTTCACACACGTACAGAGAAAGAACTGGGACATTCCCAGTGCTCCCATGATAAACACACACCGGGGTCTTGTAGGAAACAGCTCTGTTGTTGGCAAACACTGGAGTTCTCAAAACACTCATTTACCCGAATCTTCTTTTCCTTTATACTCTTTTCTTCTCCATCCTTCGCCTCTAATCTCTCATTCCTTTTTCCACTTCACATCTCCTTTACTCCGCTCCTTCCCGTTTATATTTGTGCTTTTTCACCCTGCTAGCCGGGGGGATTAAAGTTGCTGATGTTGTTCGGCTGGTTCCCTCCCTCCATTCCTCCACTTCTACCTCTGCTGCCCTCTTTAATCTTACCTCTATTTTCCGTTCTGTCTTGATCACGCATCCAAAATGCTTTTTTTTTTTTAATAGAACTGTGCACTGACAAAGCACAAACCCGTCTCCATTTTCACGCCGGTACAACACACACACAAACAAAAAGAACTGTAAGTAAACACTGACTTTTGAACACACACATTAATGTATGAGCATGCAGACACAGATAAGGTCAATAGGAACCCACTTTACCTAGGTTAACCTGGAGTATTTACCGGATTTCCCGTCTCTCCAGAGTAAACACGCCGCAAGAGCATTCAATATGCAATCCAGCTCAGCAGTGTAAACAGAAGCAGCATCTGATATTCGCAGAGCATTCATCTTAATTATTTCCTTTATGGACTGAAAACAGCAACAGGCGTTTTTCCACTCTTTGATTTAAAAAGGAAATCTGTTTTATGAAACTGGTAAAAAAAAAAAAATCTAACTTAAGTAACTTGTGCAGGCCACAGTTGGAGTAATTTCAAAGTCTACAGAGTCTTTGATCATTTTCACTCACAATGTTAACGGCCCATTTATTCACACCTTCCAGCTTAACTAAACTACGAACTGACAAGCCTTCCAATTACAGAGGTGGTCCCCGATCCTGTGGTTAAAATTGAATTATTAAATAGAAATTTCAAAGACTAAACCAACAACATTAGTTCTCCATGAATAATAACAAGTTACAATATTGATTTAATTATCAAGTCAGTGATTCGGGCTGCCATGGCATGCAAACACGCGCATCCAGACCACATTCTAATTATATTTCCTCTTTGCATATAGAACCACAAAGCAATTAAAATACATTCATTAACTTGCTGTCTCCTGATTTATCCCCTAATTTTTTTTTTTTCCTGGGAGAGCAAATTGAAGAGAAAAATGGTCTCGTTGTATGCAGCTAGTTAGAAAGCCGTAGCTCTCGGCTATGAGAAAGAAAGGGGGCAAGAAGGGGAAATTAATAGTTATGGAAAAGTGTAGCATTTCAAGGCAAATGCAGTGGAACTAATGAGACACTTGGTTGGAACAACAGATCCACGGTCTGCTGTTTGTGAGAGGGAAACATGGATTATCTTACTAAGTAGAAAACCGAGGGAGTAGAAGGAAAACACGGAGGAAAGATTAGCTGTGAGGATTCAGCTTAATTGTATTTTGTTTTCTGTCCATTGCAACAGTAATTTCAGTTCAGCGTTTTCACACTCGAGCAAACTTGGAACAACGCTGCATCTGTTAGGAGGACAAAGAACAATTTAAAGGTGGAGGCAGCGCTTCTAATCGAAAACGCTTTTTGTCGTAATCAGTGAGTATCTCCTCACAGTCTGCTAGCTATCACTTCTTGTGTGTGCTGAAGGGAAGAAAAAAAACAATCCAGTGTTTGCACATAGACTTGTCTGTAAATGGGAAACAAATCAACGGGCTCAGACTGATCCACACAACACT